AGCCCCCCCTTCCCCACCTCCTCGACCCCCACGACGCCCACGCCCCACGCGCAGGAAGCAGAGTCCGGGGGCGTCCAGACTGTGGAGGGCGAACACGTGGCCGACCTGATGCTCACCGGGGAGGGGGACATCAGCAGCCCCAACAGCACTTTGCTGCCGCCTCCCCCGACCCCGCAGGACCCGGCAGGACCTCCCACTCCAGGTACCGCCGGGCGTGGCTCCCCTGCTCACCTCTGACTCTGCCACTCCACTGTCCCCCGGGGATGTCCCCCGGGAAAGTCCACCTAGTCCCCAATAAAAAAAGACACACATGTGGGAGGTCGACCCTTTGCCCCGTGATCGTCTAACGAGGCTTTTCCACAGCACCGTCCCCTCTGTTACCATAGTTACTGTGGGCTGGTCTACCAGGAGGTGTCAGGCACAGCTGAGGTCGGAGTGTGGTCAGGACGGGTCCCGGAGGCCTCCCGGCATGTGCCGTGTTCTGTGAGCAGACAGCGGCCTCCTCGCCCCTCGCCCTCTGTCCGGCGATTCCAGAAAATGTATGTGTTCCTTAAAATGAGGAGAGCTAGCATGGTCTGTGTTCGTCTCGAGACTGAAAAAAAGCATTTGTCTTGAGGAGTGAGTGATGCCCAGGTGACGTAGGACCACGCTCGGCACAGAGCCATCACAGGGGCGTCGGCCTGGGCCAGACAGGCTCAGGACCAGGGCTGGGGGTCTCCGAGGGGTGTCCTGGCCTCGGGCAGTCACAGGCATCTCTCTCAACTCCTGGAAGCGTAAGTTTGGTTGTTCACTGAGCTCGGTGACGGTGACGTACGGCTGGCGGAGGGACTGTCCCAGGAGCCGCAGCTGGAAGTGGAGGTGAGGCTCCTGCCTGCTGCAAGGGGCTTCCAGGAGCCTTCCCACCCGCCCGCACTGGGCACGGCCCCGTGTGCGTCCCCGCTGGGTGGACAGGCGCCTGCTCGGTGTCCATGCTGACAGCGGGCTGCCCTGCCCCTGCACACACGACTCTTGGACGCTGTCAGCCCTGATCCGCTGGCAGGCGATGGGCCGCCCCAGTTCACCCGCCAGGGCAGCCTGGGTCCTGCCGGGACCTGCAGCCACACCTGGGGGCGGGAGGGGTGCGTTGTCCCTGCCTCCTTGGTAGCTTGTGGAGGACTGTGCTGTGGGGACCCGGCGCCTTCCCGCTGAGAGCGCCCCCCAGCGCAGGAGCCAGGTGCATGCTGTCGCCTTCCGCACGCCCTGCGACCCCCTGCTCCCTGCGTACCTGTGTCCTGTCGCCCATGTCTGGGTCCGTGCTCTTCCAGGAGGAATAAACCACAGCTCGTGATTGGACTGGATCAAACTTCTTTCACTTGAATATTTATTTCCGCTTCAGCAAGCTGTCGATGCATTCTACTCCAAGGAGAGTGTCACACATTTTTAGGAACTCCATGGGTTCCCTTAACAGAGTGGCTTTTAAATATATGTTTTTATTGATTTCAGAGAGAAGGAGAGAGAGAGAGAGAGGCATCAATGATGAGAGAGAATCATGGATCGGCTGCCTCCTGCACACCCCACACTGGGGATCGAGCCTGCAACCCGGGCATGTGCCCTTGACTGGAATCAAACCCGGGACCCCTCAGCCCCCAGGCCAACGCTCTATCCACTGGGCCAAACCAGCTGGGGCGATCTAGTGGCTTTTTAAAATAGGCCGTTCACTCAGCAGATGCTCTCAAGCACCCATAGGCAGCCCTGTGCCGGCGGCGGGGAGGGGGCAGCCCGGGCCTCTCCCTGAGTGGGCATCGGCGTCTGTCTGCTGTCGCCTGGGGAGGGGAGGCGGCCAGGCCCGACTCTTCCGCCCGTTCCCGTGGGCCAGAGCCGACCCTGTGGTTGGCTGTCAGTTCCCACCTGCCCCTGCGGCTCCGCGCTCCGAGCTCGGTGCGCCCCGAGTGGCCGCTCCGGCTCAGGCTTCCCACCTGGTGACAGGCGCCCTCTGTTCCCTGGGCTCAGCCCTCGGGTCTCAAAGCCTCGTCTCCATTCTCCTTAGATGTCGCCTCACCCCAGGGTGCTCAGCACGCACTGGCTGATGAGGACCTTTAACCCCGTCACCACCTGCTGGGGTCTGAGTGGAGGGGGACTGTGTGTCATGAGCGGGAACCAGGGCTTTGGTTGGGGCTGTGAAGCTTGCTCACAGGGATCAGCCTCCGAGGCGATGGAGTGGAGTGGGGTGGGGTGTCCAGGGCTGGTGGCTGAGGGTGGACCACGGAGCCCCTGCCCCGCCCCTCTCCTCCCCTCCCCATATTTCCCAGTTTAGCTGCGCCCAGTCTCCTTGTGCTGTGAGAGTGAGGGGCACCCCGGGAGGCTTCACGGAGGAGGTGGCAGGGTGGCCTTGAAGGACACAGGACCCGTCTAGCAGACGGTTCAGAGCATGTGGACAGGAGTCACAGCAAAGGAGGACACGGAGGGTCCCTCTGGGGCAGGAAGGGCCCGGGGAGGGCCACTGACGTGGCTCTGGCGCCCGATTGCGATGGTGGTGGCGCTCCGCTGGGCCCCCGGGGCTCATGTCGGGCTGTGGAGCCCTGGGGGGAGGGGCCAGTAGGGCCCTGAGAGGCGGAGGCGAGGTCCTGGCCCAGCCTCATATCTGCTGGAGGGAGTGGCACGGGCACCCTTTGGAAATGGCCCCTGGCGCCCTGTGGGGTTCCGTTGACTGCATGGGGCTGGGCCGCTGCCACCGAGTCACAGGCCTGGGGCTGCCACTTACTCAGAAAGCAAATCTGGGCCAGGCAGGCAGGAAGGGCCTGGACCTTGGCCACCCGCCCCCAGACACAGGTCCTCAGCCTGCACCAGCTGCCCCGTCCCCGACACGGCAGGCCCTCCCTGGGCCTGCTAAGCTGTCCCGGCTCCAGCTGCCCCTGCAGCCTCTGTCGCCCGGGCCCATCGGGCTGGACGGGAGGGCCTGGCTCCTGGCCTGAGTGGGACCGCAGGTCCTTTACTGCTCCAGACAGATGCCCCCGAGCGGGCAGAGAACCCGGCAAGCCCTGCCCTCCACCCTGAAGCTAAATGGAAGCGCCCTGCCCCACCTCCCACCCTGCGGCCGCCTGTGGAGCATGGGGGGCCCAGTGACAGATGGGACGGTGGGGCCCAGTGGGAGGCCTAGTGGGATGTTTGCTGAATGACTGAAGGACTGGACCCTCGGGCCTCAGGGGAAACCCTTCCCCATGGTTTTGAATAGGACACGCCTGGCCCAACAGCCGTGGCCGGGGAGGACACGCGGCCGGGCACTCTGACACCGACGAGCCACGGGGAAGCCCTGGGGGCCACGTGGAGGTGCTCATGGAGGCCTGGGGTGCAGTAAGGTGGGACTTTGGGGCCACGGAGCAGCTGGGAACACAGGCTCCTGATCCCACAGCATCCCACTCTCACTCAGAAGCCTCAGACCCACGGAGGAAGCGGAGCCAGGCCAGGGAAACCGAGGCCCAGGGAGGGCTGGTCCGTGGGGCAGGACTCCATGTCGATTGTGGGTCACCGGCTGGGACGCCTGCTCGCGTGGGCACCTGAGAGTCCTCGGCCCTGGGCTCACTGACACCCTATAGATTCTACACCAGGGCCCTGGCATCCCTAACCTGGGCGGCACCGCCTGCCCCGTCCCAGTGGTGAGCCAGGGGAGGGCAATGGAGGGTGCCAGGGCTAGGAGCTTCTGCCAAGCCCACCCCATGCCGGTCCCTGGGGACTGCGCCTGGAAAGACAGGTCTCCGTCCTCCAGGGCCTCATCGGGGCTCCGCGGCCCACCCAGAGGTTACTGGCACAGAACCAGGGCTGCCCACCCAGGGCCTAGGAGTTTCTGGCGGCCCGAGGACTCCTGGGGCTGAGGCGGGGCCACTGGGCACTGAGCAGCCTGCAGGCGGGGCAGATAGTCCACTCGGGGGACAGGCACAAGGCCCGGGTGTGGCCATGGGGTAGGAGAGCGCAGCCGGAACCCAGGCAGGTGCCAGGAAGGACTGTTTGTGAGGGTGAGGACATGGGCCTGAGGTGGAGGCAGGTGGACAGCTGGCAGCCAGGCTGGGTGGTCACAGGGGCTCTGGAGCCGCCTCTGCCGCACGCTGGCCTGTGAGCTGCGTCCTGCAGCGAGGTTGGCAGTGAGGTCGTGTGTGAGGCCGAGTGCCTGGGGGCCTTGCCAAGGGCCAGTCCTGTCTGGAACAGCCCCACCCAGAGCTTGGTCCCCCCAAGCCCAGGCAAGGGGGCCTGTCCCTTGGCACCCACTTACTGTGGCCCCAGTGCCCCTGGCCTAAGGGCAAGCCCTGCAGACAGCCCCCAGGGGAGTTGGGGCCATAGTAGCCTGGGGTGGAGTCAGGGAAGGCAAGGCGGGGCTCAGCAGGGGGCCCGGGCAGCAGGGAGGTCTCTTGTGGCCACAGTCTCCTCCCCGCCCCGCCCACCCTCCTCCCCCCCACACTGCTCTCCACTGGCCACAACCCAGCCGGGAGCCCCTGGATCCCTGTGAACAGCCCTGCAGCCTGGTGGGGCCCTGGGACCCCTCCCCTCCCCCTCCAGTTCCTCTGCCACCCCAGCCCCTCCTGGGGCACAGAAATCCTCATTCCTGTACGGCACACCGCACACCTCCCACTCACAGCCCAGCCCGGGGGCAGCTCAGCATCCTCGGCCGGCCAGGGGGCGCCACCGGGAGAGGAGGAATGAGGGGGGCAGGGGCAGGGCCCAGGTGCTGAACAGCTTTTGAAGGACCCGGGCTGGCCTGGCACAGATGACGAGGGCAGGGTGCAGGGAGCCCTGGGTGTCCTTGTGACCAGTAGGGGCTCCCCGGGCGCCATGGCACAGAACCTGGGCCCTGCACCCCCAGCACCGGGGCCCCAGCCTCTGCCTCCCCTCTCGATTCATGCCTGTGCCCCCTCGGCCTGGGACCTTCCCCACACTGTGTGGCCTCTGCCGCCCAGACGTGCAGGGGCCCCGAGGGGCTGGTGGCTTGAGGCTCGCGATCTATAGACCCCTGACCCCGGCCGAGGCTAAGGTCAGAGGTGGCCGGCCTGCGGGATGCATTTGGGCATTTGAGGAACCCCTCCCACGGCCAGTGTCCATGCAGGGCAGGTGGGTGGGGATTCCTGCTGGGTGTCTGCAGGCCTGGGGGGATGGTGACAGCCTCTCTCTTCTCCCTGTGACAGGAGGCGGGGCACACAGCAGCCGAGGCCTCCCGGTCAACACGATCATCGATGTGGACCTGGTTGCTGGCTCGGCCCCTGGGCCAGGCCACAGGGCTCCAGGGGTGCGGACAGACCCCCGGAGGCCACAGGCCAGCAGGCCCCCCGCACCAGACCTCCCCGGCCTGAGCCCCATCGCAGGTGGGCCCACCAAGCCCAAAGCCAGCCCACACCACGCCACCTTCGTCTGAGGCCACCCGCAGCCCGCCCGCTGGTGGGCCCCATACCTCCAGACCTCCCCTGAAGGCCATGTCTCTGGGCGGCCCCAGCCCATCGTGAGGGCCTTTGGCGGCCACCCCGACCACTGCGCCCTCGGAAGCCACCAGGAAGGCGGAGGGCTGGCTCGGAGGGCTCCTGGGCCCACCCCCTGCCACGGCCTCCAGCCTTGCCCCAATAAAGTGTCTTCAAGGACCCTGTGTTGGCCTCCTGCTGGGTGCCGGGCCCCAGGCCATCTGTCCTCCGTCCTCCTGTGTCCTCGTCCTCGGAGGTGTTGCCATGGCCTCCAGGACCATGTAGGGGAGGGGCTTGAGGAAGTGGGGCCTGCGGGTCAGGCCTGGTCTCCTCCAATCCACACCATCCCCTGCAGGTCAGCGCACGCTCCTCCGGGCAGTGGGGACCTGCAGGCTGCCATGCACTTGGCCTGTCAGTGGAGGGATTGTCTGAGCGGAAGGCCTGGGCAGGAGTAACAGGGCCGTGCCCAGCTCCTGAGGCTGGAGCGGGTTTCATTACAGAATGGCCTGAGCCAAGTCAGGAGGGGACCGGTGGCAGGTCAGCGGCAGGGCCCCATGAGGTGTTGGGTTGAAGCAGACGGAGATGACACCATGGTCCCAGGTTGCCTCGCTGGAACCCCAATGTACAGCTTGGTGTGAGGGGCCCTCCGCCCTCGGTCTGCCATCCGCAGATGGTGGGGAAGGGGTGGGGTCTGGTCTTACCAGGTTTGTCAGAAGCCAGAGAACAGCCAGGCTGTGGGGTTCTGAGTGCTCCCAGGGAGGGGCTCCAGGAGAGGCGTGGGCAGGAAGACGGGCGGCACCCACGTGCCCAGCGCCCTCTCCTCCTGGGTGCAGTGAGGCAGGTGCAGTGCCAGCCCCTCTGCACCCCGTGCGGGCGGCCGGCATTCTGGGCAGGAGGGACAACTGCCGTGCGCGGGGCACTGCCCAGCCCAGACCACAGAGGGCAGGACCCAGCCAGGCCTCTGGCCCTTGGTGGCCCCTGGGTACCTGGCCTTGGCTCTGCTGGGGACTAGAGAGGAAGTCCAGGAGAGGTGGAAGGGGGGCTCCTGGACACCCCAGGTCATGGCACCCCAAGGGGGCTCTGGTCCTGCTCCCCGTGTTGCACTTCCCGGGGGCCCCGCCCCAGGCTCCTCCTGGAGGGACCACAGAGGCCCCCGTCCTGGGTCACTGCCACGCGCAGCCCAGCACACCCAGCCTCCTCTCCGCCGGCCTGGGCTGGTTGTGGGCAGCACCCCCTCTGGCTGAGCGGGAA